ACGTTTTCGGATATAAGGACAAATTATCTTGATCTCTCGATACTTACTTAGTTTTTACTAATTTAAAAAGAAATCATCAATTGTAATTTTCTTTGGGCGACATCTTAGGTATCTAATTAAATTAAGTTTATATCTGTCTGAATAATGAACTTTACCAACTCGCTAGAACACATTATACAGAATTTTCAACTTGTTTTAAAATTCTACACTTTTTGGTTTTTGGGTAATGACGGCAGCGACATTTTTTTTAATAGCAACCCCTAATGTTTTTAGCGAATTCGATAGTTTTTTTAATTATGGAAATGGCAACACCAAAATATTGTTACATAAAATTCTCAAAAAAAATTATCCAAAAAGTGAAATAATATCAATAAAAAACAAAGATAGCATTTTAAATGAAGTTAAAAATTTTGTATTTTTTAAAAAGAAAATTGACTTGTTCGAGCATTTTTTAAAACAAAATATTTTCAGTTTTAATAAAGAAGATTATTCTATAATTTTGCCGCTCTCTGTATATTCTCATCATTCTAAAAAATTTTTAGATAGCCCCTCCCCAAAATTAATTCCTGGATCCGCCCCTATTGTTTACCCACCTCGGGGGGGACTCGAGTGGATGTAGAGGCCATTATTTTGGATTTGTTTGATGTCGGGTGTGCGTTTACGCGTCCTGATTGGCATTTTCGAGACATGCTAAAAATCTGGAAAAATTATTTTATCAGTTCATCACACTAAAAGGGGCTTTTAGGACTTATTGCTGGTTTGTGCAAGTAAGCTGTCAATTAAATGCGCGATAAACATCTAAGAGTAAAGTAATCGGAATAATGTTTCATTGATTTAATAACATTTCCTGAAGATTTGAAATTTTTAAGCGATTTTAGAAGAGTTCCAATTTTGTAAAAAATCATAATTTAGGGAGTCCTCGAGTTGTTTTTTTACTTTTCGAAGTTTTATGAGATTTTAAATCGCCCAAAAACAAATAAAACATTTAAACAATACTTCTCCGATGATATTGAAATTGTTTTTTAAGCTTTTTTAAGTATAAAAACCTTCTACTATTAACAGTTTTTAATTATTTAATCAATATTAATTTGTCAATTTTTGCGATAAACACCTGAGAAAAAAGTAATGTTTCACAGATTTAGAACTTTAGCGATTTTAGAGAGAAAAGTGTGTATTAAAATATTTTGTTTTTAACTAAAGAATTCTAGTTGTTTTCTTTTATATTTTTTTTATGAGTCAGTCTTACTAGAGATAAAAATCAGAAACAATAAGAAAATCTTTTAATCAAAATAATTGTTCTCATTTTTGTCTACAAAATTTGTTGTTGTTTTTTTATTGTTCTTGTTTCTAAATCAGCGTTTCTAGACATAAAATCACAGAAAAATAATAAATCTTTTTACCAAAATATGTAATTCGTGTACATATCTTTTTTCGGGGAGTTTTAATTTTGAAAAAAATGTCTCAGAATAATATTTAAGTCCTCGAGTGTTTTTTTAATTTTTGAGTTTTTATAAGCATTTGAGATTTAATTTTTCTAGACCTAAAATCGCATGAAAATAAATAAAATATTTAAAC